ACAGAGAATGAAGTGGCTGGATGGAGTCAACGAAACAGTCAGCGTGAGCTTAAATGGACTCCAGAGGATGGCAGAGGACAGGAAGGCCTGGAGGAACATTGTCCATGGGGTGATGATGGGTCGGATATGACTTCACAACTAATGACAACAATGAATATCTTGCAGTTCTGATGGTCTTGTGGTGACATTCTGTTCCCAGCTTTACTTACCAAGGAAGGTCCATATTCTTGACAGCTGATCACTTGGATCTCAATCTTTTGCTCGCTCAAATGCTGGAGTTTTTCCAAGACGTCCCTCATCCCCAACCATTTGCAATCCGTGCCTTCAACAGCAATCACCGTGTCTCCTTCTTTCAAACCTGCCAACTAAAAAAATATTGGGCATTCCTTAGCATTAGTTATAAAGCCAGGCAGAATCTGGTAACTTCCCTTACCAGCTTTAATTGTCCAGCTTCACCACGGAAACCAGATTAAAACAATAAGGATTTTAAGTTCCTATCTCTAATCAAATAGGATCTGTTGATTTCAATGCAGTATTAAGCCCAACCACTCAACCAATGACGTGGCAATAAACTCCACGATGCCTAGTGGGACTTAATTATGAATTAATAGGTTCATGATTTCATTAATAAATAATCTTGGTAATGTGCTTCTATATTGTGTTGTTAAGCCCTAATTTTCCCCCTTAGATTTGGTTTTGCATACTAAGTGGACCCAGCCAACTGGGGTTTATTTGCTACTCCAAGGTTAAGCAGTCTATGGTTTACTGAGATGTATAAACTCAGTCTTGAAGAAGTTAACAGAGGAAGATCATGATGTGGCCTGGTCTGATGAGGGCTTTGGGGGGGGGGGATGTGCCAGTTGTCAGCTGCCTTCAGTTTCAGACATCAGTGAGGCAGATGAACAGCTGGAGCCCGTTCCCAGTGCGCGCATGCGCAGAGATGCCAGACGAAAGAACAAGGGTCGACTTGTGAGTAAGGCCACAGGTGGACGGTGAATGGCTCCTCCCACAGGAAATAAAAGAGGAACGAAAGGGGAGTGGAATTTGCAGGAGACAATTAGTTCATTCCTGCATTCTTGCCAAGTATTGCAGCGTCTGAAAGATATGGGCCTGGCCACTCTCCAAGCCTGATAAAAGTCGGTAATTGTGAACTATCTTGAAAGACTGTGGGCCAGGACGTTAGGAATTCACTGTAAATTAAATGAAAGGAATTTATTGTGGCGAGGACACAGCTTCGTGCTGCTGGGGAAGCCTAGGTCAGAACACACTTTCATTGTGGACAAGGCACATTAGGGTGCAGCTATAAAAAATATACAACGTTTAAATTGTACCAATCCAAAAGTGTTATGAAGTATCCCAGCTGTCTTTCAGATTACGTTTTACAATAAACTCTACTTTTCAAACTCATTCAGTAACAGCAATATCAGGGAGGACATGCAGTGATGGGATTCAGCTGGTTCGCACCTATCCGGGAGAACCGGTTGTTAACTTTCTGGGCAGTTCGGGGAATCGGTTGTTGGAAGAAATCTCCTTTTGTTTCTTTCCACTTTACAGGGCTAATCCTGTAAGGAAGGCAGGAAGGAAACATTCTGGTGTTGTTTCTAGNTCTATCTATCTATCTATCTATCTATCTATCTATCTATCTATCTATCTATCATCTAGTGTCACAACCCCTGGTATGCCCAAATATGGGAGGGAGCATACTGCTTCCCTTTTCTGTCTTTCGGTTCACTCTGGGAGCCATCCAGGCAGAAAGCCATTTTTTTTATGTTGCCTTGTTACATTTGTGTTGCAATTGTGCTGATAAATAAAGGGAGACTAGTATAGATCTATTTCAAGCTATAATATAATATAACTGCCTAATATGTAATTCAGCCCAGGTTGAATCCCCAGTAAGAGTATGGCTAGTTGATGAGAGTTAAATAGCTTGAAATAGATCTCTACTAGTCTTCCTTCATTTATTTCTCAGCACAAATATAACACACACACACACACACAAACACACACACATATATGTATATGTATATGTATACACACACACACATACACACACACACACACAGAGGTAGTTCTTGACTTACAACCACAATTGAGCCCAACATTTCTGTTGCTAAGCGAGACAGTTGTTAAGTGAATTTTGCTCCATTTCACCACCTTCCTTGGCACAGTTGTTCAATGAATCAGTGCAGCTGTTAAGTTAGTCATATGGCCGTTAAGTGAATCTGGCTTCCCCATTGACTTTGCTTGTCACAAGATTGCAAAGTGTGATTCCATGGCATTAGAACACTGCAACCGTAATAAATATGAGTCAGTTGCCAAGCGTCTGAATTTTGATCACGTGATCGTGCATGGATACTGCAATGGTTGTAAGCATGAAAAACTG